CTGTCCCTGTCTCTGCGTCTGTCCCTGTCTCTGCGTCTGTCCCTGTCACTGTGTCTGTCCCTGTCTCTGTCCCTGTCTCTGCGTCTGTCTGTGCCACTGTGTCTGCCGTCCGCTGCTGCGGCCCCTTTTCTTCTTTTCGGTTTTCTTTAAAAAAACGATTCCTTCTGACTGACTGTAAACTGCTGCTTTACCTCATGTTGCCCAAGGTTTAAAGGTTTGTCACCAGCTTTCTCTAAGTACAACATTTGAGTTTGTCACGCACACGTGTGTTTCTTCCTTTTCTAGCAGTTTGGTTTTCAGGAGTCAGCTGTGTCTGGAAGTCGCTGGCTCCAGCTCCAGTTCAGGCCCTGCCTCAGCCCCAGACCTCCTGCATCCTTCTCTCTCTCTCTCTCTCTCTCTCTCTCTCTCTCTGTCTCTGTCTCTGTCTCTGTCTCTCTCTTTCTCTGTCTCTCTCTCTCCTCCCTCTTTTTTTCCCTCCCTCCCCCCTCTCTACCTTCAGTTCCCAAAGCTAAGCAACAGCACGGCCTTCCGCCCAGGCCTCCTCCACCCCTCCTCTGAATGGCCACCTGTCCTTCCTGACATGTGCCTCAGACACCCGTCCATCCACAGAAGCTGACCTGTCCCACTCCGTGCTGAAGGCCCTGACTGCTGAGGACAGGAGTCCCATCCTCTAGAGAGTTCAGGATGGGCACCCAGGAAGTACACCCCCCACACCGCCCCACAGCTCCCAGCATGCTGGAGCCTGTCCATCCCACCACACCGTGTCATCACCGTGGGCCAGGAGCACTTGATGACAGTCAGTGAGCGCCGCTGGCCACGCACTGGAGCTCACTGCTGCTCTTAGCAGGAAGGCAGGCTTTGTCTGGAGGGGACAACATTCACTCAGCCAGGTGACTCATGCTTCAGGCTGGCCCAGACCAGGTCTGAATAAAGCTTAGTCTCTGGCACGGATGCTGGTAGAGCCCTCTTGTCCCTGCAGGGCCTTGTTGGTTATGGGCAAGGTCTAAGTGTGGGGTGATGCCCTGCGGCCATACCCTGACCTCCCTTTTCTTTGTGTTTTGAGACAGGGCTGGTGTAGACCTCATCGATGCTCCTGCCTCTGCTTACCAAGTGCCAGGATTACAGGCAAGCACCACAGGCCTGCCTTTACCTGATCTTTTATACTCCTTTGTTGAGCTGGACTTCTGACACTGTCCATTTGCCCCACTTCACGGGTGGATACACCAGCCTGTGGGGGAGGGGCATTTAGGTGACGGAACCAGCACCACTGCATCCCTGTCACCCGACCGATTGCCATGTGCAAGAGGGAACCAGGGGGCTGGGGACAGAGCTCAGCAGGCCAGGGCTTTCACAGAGGACCCAAGTTAGGTTTCCAGCACCCCTTTTTGCCAGAGGAGGAAAGCCAGCGCTGCATGGTCCAGCCAGGGCACTGCTGATGCGTCCATCTGGACATGTGTGTCTTTGGGACCATCCGTCTTTTTATTTATCGGATCTGACCTCAATGCTCTACTCCCCTTGCTGCTTTCAGGTCTCCGAAGCAGGCAGGGGGTGAGCTGGGCGGCTGGGGGTTCCCAGCACACCAGACAGAACCGGCTCCCAGCTCCAGACCCCGGGCTGAGCCGTCTCTCACTGGCCTTCCCTTTCTCCCACCAGGTGTTCCACTGTGTCCACTTTGAGTGTCCGGAGCAGCAGAGCAAACAGAAGGAGGACAGCAGTGAGGAGCCAGGGACAGGGGACCTCAGCACCCCCAGTCAGCAGCTCGACCCTCGTGCCCCGCGGGCACCCAGCGCCAGCTCACTCCCGCCCAGTCCGGGCCCCAACTCCCGCTCACCCAACCAACAGAACCAATAAAGCAGGCAGAGGATGTCGTGGGACTTGGGTGGGCCTGGATGGAACGGTGTCCTCCCCGTCCCTGGGAGGATCAGGCCTGACTGCAAAGCCCACCACAACCAGGTTTTTTCCCTCCAGGGACAGAAGGGTGCCTGTGTTCTCCTTGCTCCTCAGACTGTCTCCAGGGGGAGGAAGTGGGTGTTGACTCTTCAAGCCCACCATCAATCCCTACCTCTAATCTAACCCAGGTACCAGCGCTGAAGGAATCTATAAACAGGCCCAAGCTGGAATGAATTAAAAAAAAAAAAAAAAGAAAGAAAGTACCCTACGCCTTGACAAAACCAGAAAAGGCCCGGAGTGTCCCCTCTGTGGCCGGCTGCTGGTTGTGCAGGTTTTCTCTGCCTGCTAACTCACAGTGTTGAAGGCCTGTGGATTGCTCTGGCCCTCTCCAAAGGTCTTCCTCACTCTCCGATGCTTGCCCGTGGGCAGAGTTCGAAGCTTTTAGGAGACTGAAAGAGACCAATGTCGTTCACATGGCACCCGGCCTGCCACGGAAAATCCTCAAAGTTCAACCAGACACTCAACGTGCAGATCACTCAGTCTGTGGACACTGGAGTTAATAACTGATCAGATTGCCACTGTTAACCTGTTCCTGATGTGTACCTGGGAGGCGGCAGTTACCACACCAGCTGCTGGAGAGCGACCCAGAAGCCCATGTCAACAGACACTTGCCCAGCCCAAGGCTTCTGGGCCTTCTGGGCCTCGAGGTTCAGCTGCCCTTGGACTTGGATAAGTCATAGATGGTGTGTCAGGGGCACAGGCCTGGGACCAACAGCGTGTCTCCTGCACTGAGGCATCCACCTGGGGTAGCAAAGAGCGGGTCTCAGGCGCTTCTGGTTTTGACCACGGCGTTGCCACCCGGTCCCTCTGTCCCTCCTGTGGCTTCCATGAACAGCTTCTGTGCCTCCACCCACTATCCCAAGGCCCCATGAGAACACCTTACCATGTCCTGTTAGCATGCTCAGAGAACAGGGCTTGGGTCTAGTCCAGTCCTAGAAGTGAAAGGATGGGTCAGCCAGCTCTGTGAGTTTTTGGTGGAATGGCTGGTCCACACGGAAGAGGCCTCAGCTGCAGTGGGGGCCATCTTCTGTGAGTTCAGGCCTAGGGTGGCAGAGCTGGGCCCCAAGGAGACTAGTCAAGAGTCCGAACCTCTGGCTTCATTTTGCTGTGTGGTGTGGCTGTCTTTGGTAAGGAGGCTTCCATGGATGGATGGAGGGTGTGGCTATAGTGTGTGGAGCGCTGCCTTTGGCAGCATCCAGCCCGGAGTTGCCAATATCTCTAGCAAGCCAAACTCCCTGCCAGTGCACAAGGAACCCCAGTCCTGTGGAGGATGGAGTTTGTCGCTTTTGGAAGATAAGTGTGAGAGCTTGTTAGTTTTGTTGGCCATTTGGCTAAGGTAGATTCTCCTCCTGTAGCCCAGGTTAGCCACACTCCTCCTGGCAATTTTCCTGTGTCAGCACCCCGAGTTCTCAGCTTACAGGTATGAGCTAGCACATGCTACCACAAGACATTTTTGTAAAGACAGAAGACAAGGTGCAGGTCCAGGCCTGGAGCCCAGCAATTCCCCTGGGGCAGAGGGTCTGAGCTGGCAAGGAGCCCCTAGTGTCCACCCCAGATGTCACCACACACACCTAGCACACTAGGTGCTGGGCACTCAGTCCTCTTGGCAGCCTCAGTTCCCATCTGGCTAGCCCAGACTCATCTGAGACCCATGTCTCATGGCTTCCTTTCTCCCTTCAGACCCTACCGCCTAACCCCCAGTGATTGTGCATTCAAGTTGTAAGACCATAGAGGCTGGATAATGTCAGTGTACGCGGGGCCATGGTGCCTTCAGATACGCAGGATGGGAGATGGGACATCAAAGTCACCAGTGTCAGAGGGGGCAGGGGAAGTTCAGAGAACCGTGGCAAACGCTCAGTCACCTGGGCTGACTCCCAAGCTGCCCTTGAGATGCCTTCCCTGCTCAGGACGCAGGAGGACGTTTACCTCCCACTCGACACAGGAGTGTACCCACCCTTGGCTGATGCCCGTGTAATGTGCCCAGATGCCATAGCCAAGGGTGTCACAGCCACATCTAAGGTAAGGTCCACACTTCCAGGGGACAGAGATGAGCTAGAGTCTGGCTTGTCCCCTGCAGGATTATCCCCTGAGCCAACAGACTGGAAGTGACACTCGAGTGCTGAGCTGGGCAGAAGCGCTAACAAGTCACGCTGGTGGGAACCGAGTAGCCCTGGCACCGCCCAAGGTGATGCTGACTCTAAGGACCTTTGGGTGCCAGGAAGGGTCACAGTCAAGCTATGGGGGGCTGAAGCAGCGTGAGCTGTTCTCCCCCAGCCCTGCCCTTGCCACTAAGGGCATCAGTGTGAATATGACCCTTGTGGGCTCAGCGTGGAGGGTGTGGCTCCCACCTGATGCCTCGAGCTGTAGAATGGCACCCGCTTCCAGAGCTTCCTGCCCTGTGATTGTGTTCTTTAGGACACCAGACAACATCACTGGGGCTTTGAGACGTTCAGTCTCACCCACAGGAACTCCCAGGGAACAAATGGGAACAGCTGGACAGGGAGGTTTGGGCACGGGGTGGGCTTGAGGGCAGCTCTCTGCACGGCAGCTTTGAGCAGCCTCAGGTGGTCTTGCACTTCGGCTCAGTTTCCTACACCCTCGGTACTGCTTTGTTCTGGTCTTAGTGGGGCCGAAAGCCCAGGGAGATGTGGGGTCTTCCCATGGCTCTTCAGCTGTCGCCTTGCAGTCTTATTAAATGAGGTGTCGATTCCTGACAAACACATCACAAGTGTTTCATTCCTAGAAAGAGTTGGAAAAAGAACTTCTTTTCAGCAGGAGAGGGCCGTGTTTGTTAGACCGATTCCTTGCCTCCACACCAATGAGTTTTGAATTGTGCAAGGAAAAAAATTGCTCAGTAGTTAAGCCGTCTGCAGCAATTGTCAAGCTCTGAGCGCACAGCTGAGCAGCCCATCTCCCGCTCCGACTCAGAAGGTAACAGGACTGCAACCACAGCCTCCGCAGAGCCACGGGGATGGGGTGAAGTCTGTCACAATTGGGGCCTGGTGTGCTTGGCAGGACTGCAGGCCTCCCTCTGCATGGGGACAGAGGTGTCAGAGCAGAGGACTCTCTCGTTAAGCTTGGCCCTGCCACGTTGTTCCGCATCACCCTGCCTTCTGTGTGGCACATGGTTTTGGAGCAGTGCTGAGGTGCCCGCCACCATGGGCACTGGGCAAGCTCTGGTTATTCTGCAGCACGGTCATTGACTTAATTCTGACAACAGCCTCAGGAGGAGGTGGGTGCTCATTAGTGGCCCTAGGCATTATAATGCCCTGTGCCACCAGGTGGGTTGCCCCATATTCAGGGTTCTGGGGTCTCCAAAAGGGAGGAGAGTGGCTGAGGTAGCCATGTTGGAGGGCACCCAACTCTCCCCTGGCTGAGGGTCTGGGCGGGCTGCACTTTGCTTCTGTAGGGCACGTGGAGCCCATCCTCCACACCCTCCAGTGTGTCTGTTCCTCCCTGTCCTGTCTCTTGTCCTTCACGTTGAAAAATGCACAGGACTAGTTCCAGAATAAGCTTTCAGTCTAGCAGAGACTGCCCATTGCCTCTCTGGCTGGGCCATTCCTGACCTGAGTCTGGGGCACCTGGTCCTCTACTGTCCCCACCCAAACCCTGTTTCTAGTCTCTGCTGCTAGAAGCCAGACTGAGTGGGGCTTCTAGACAGATAGGTCCCCTTCAGCCCCCAGCCAAGGACACAACCACCCCTGTAATTTACAGTAAATGTCCTCCCAGGGCTTGCCACTTACAGATCTGGGCAGTTAGGTAAAGTGGTGGCCCAGAGCCACACACCTAGTCCTGCCATGTCTCCAGCCTCTCAGTCTTCCCAAGCGTCACCTTTGAAAGCCAGTGGCAGTGGAGGTGCAAAGCAGGGTCCCCAGCCCATTGAGGGAATCGCAGTGTAGGCTGTAAGTGGATTCCATCTCTGAGCCCCAGGGGTCAGAGCTGCCCTGGAGATGTATCTGAGGCTTCCCCTACAACCTCTGGCGGCTGCTTCAGGCCTATGTTCCACCCCCCTATTGTAGCTCGACACGGGGTCAGTACTGGTGTCCAGCTGTCACAGAAATAGTCCCTCTAAAATTGGCTTCAGGCCATAGCTCTGTAAGAATGGAGAGAATCTCAGCCAGGATTACTGGGGTCTTAGAAAGCCAGGGCTAGGGCAGCTCTGGGTCTCAGGAAGGCCTTCCAAAAGAGGCCTTCTAGGACACAATGCGAGCCTGAAAGCCAGGAAGTTCCTTGTCTCTATCTCCACCCCCACCACGCCCAGCACCCAGGATAGTAACTGGCTTGGGTCATGCCTTTGCAGTGAAGGCAGGTGACCGCGCCCCATGGGTGTCGATGCACAGTGCCCATGAGCTGCTCTGGCCAAACTTGTGGAGGCTGGATCTTTCAGAGACGAGTAGCCACTTCCCCTCCATGGCTGCCATTTCTGGGCCTCTGAAGAGTGCGAGTGCCATCCTGATATGGTGCGGGTCATGCTAACCCTGGGCACGGCCCCCTGAGGAAGTGTCCAGGGCAGTGTTTGGAATGTGTTCCTGAGGTGGCGTGGCATCTTTTTGTAGCGAGCTGTGTTGTGACCTTTGGTTCATGTGTGTGCAAGGCCACTACAGGCTCACCATAGAAATAAAGCGGCGACTTTGATACTTTGAGTTTGTGCCTTCTGTTCTCCAAACCTTGTCCCCTGCAAGCTCTCCCCAGGGTTCCCTGTGTCTGCCGTGGGAACTCTTTCAGAACTCATTTCCTGTGTCATGAGGACAGGGTGGTGCCAGTGCCACACAGCCTAGCCTGGCAGCCTTTCTCTAGCCATCCCAGGGCCTAGCTGATACCATTTTGCTTATCACCTAGTAGGTTCACCTCCTTGTCACTTTGAGTGGGCTCTGTGTCTTTGTGACAAGCTAGGAACTGGTGACTGTATGTCTTGCCTCATCTCTCCACACTGTCAACACTCTGGGCCCTGTTCCTGGGCCACTTCTCCATTATATGCGTTGGTGCCAAGGGTCATCTAGAACCCTTGCTGAACCGTGAACACGGTCACAGCAGACCTCAATGTGAGTCAGGTGGATGTGTCCCCACTCGGTGCATCCCTGGGGAACCTGTGCCCAGGTATGACTTTCTGTTCACTTCTCTCAGAAGATTGGCCTCCAGTGAGTGCTAGGTGTACCCAGGTCCAGGCAGACTCCCACAGGTGACAGCTGAGCAAAGAAAGCTCTGAGTCCCCAAAGTGGGAACCAGGGTCAGTTCTGAGAAAGGACCAGCCCCATGGTCATATCTACAGAGGTCACTGTTGGGGACAAGAAGGGACCACCAGGAGGCTTTGTGAGTTGTTCGGGGGTGGGGGGTACCCTGCATCAGGATTTGTTGCTTGTAGCTCAGGGGGCAGGCTGCTCAGGAGCCCCAGAAGAGCCAGACGAAGGCACCCACAGGTACTGATGGAGAACCACAGGAATGTCACAAAGTGGCCCAGTCCCCATGGGGAGATAGAAAACTCTCTCCCCCAGGTTACTTGTGGTCAGATGAGGACACCGCCCGCCTCCATACCAGCAGATGGAGCATTCCACTGTGCAGGAAATGATCACCGCGCCTTGACAAGTTTCCGCCCGGACCCCGTTTGTCGTTTCTCTGTAGGAGTGCAGCTGCCATTAGGCATTTGTTTCTGAAAGGCTGACATCAACCTTAGTTTATCCACACCGGCAGAAGCAAAGAGCATGTGAGTTGGTGTCCCATGTCCCCACGGATTATAACCTCACCGGAACCTGAGGAGAGCCCACTCTAGGCAGGCCAGCAAGAGGGGGACGCCCTGCACTAGATCAGAGCCAGGAGATTATACATTCATTACCTTAAACATCGCTTGCTATGGGAACGTTCAAATGCGGAGTTTGAAACGGTACCCTCGGTTGATTACTGTGTACCGCACACTGGGATACAGAACTCACCTGTGGTCGAGTTGGCTCCCCCCCCCCCCATAGGCTTATATTTGAGGATTAGGAGGTGTGGCTTTGTTGGAGGTGTGTCACTGGAGATGGGCTGAGGTTCCAAAAGCCCTTGCCGAGCCCAGTCTGCCTCTGACCGATGGGTCAGGATGTAGGCTTTCAGCTGCTGCTCCAGCAGTGTCTGCCTGATGCCGTGTGTCCCTCCATGATGGACATGGACCTCTGCAACTGTAAGCAAGTTCCCAGCTAAATGCTCTCCTTTTTAAGTTGCCTGAGTGATGATGTCTCTTCAAGGCATAACTGTGTGAGAAGCTGGTACCAGGTTCTAGCGTAATGCTGTGACAAGACTTGACCATGCTACCATGCTGCTTTTTTAGACTTTGCTGTTAAGCAGGGCTTAATGGGCCATCCTAATAGGAGCGTGGAAGACAACGACACTGAGAGCAATGTGGATGGCCGTGTCCCAACGCAGGGGACAACTATTAGCAAATGTCTAGAGGCCATTATGATATTTTGGCAGAATGCAGGTGCTTTATGCCCTTGTCCTAAAAATCTGCTTGAGACTATGTTGAAGGACTTTGGACTAATGTCATTAGCAGAGGAGATCCAAAAGGCCTAGCACTGACTGTGTCGTATGGTTATTAGAAATTATCTACAACGAAGAAGAGTAAGCAGGACAAAAAGATGAAAATGTCCAGTTTGAGAATGTCTGACGTGTCACCAAACAGCCTCAACTCTCAGTGACACCCCACTCCCAAATCCAGTGGTGAAGCTCTCTTTTATAGCTTCATGAGGTCACGAAGTATTTATCTCTATGCCTGGCTTATTTCACTTGATGCTATGTCCCCATGTTCATACATGTTGCCACGTTAAGCCTTCTTTAGTGGTGGCTAGTATGCTAGTATGTTAGTAAACACAAACTCCCTGCACATTCATCTGTAGAGGGGCACAGGTTAGTGTCTGGGCTGTTGGGAACAGTGCTCCAAGGACAGCCGCGCAGGTGTCTCTTGGATCCAGTTTCATTTCTGGGGGATTGCTGGTGACAGGTCTGTCTGCAGTGTTCACAATGGTCACATGACCTGATGCGCCCACCAGGTGGTCGAGGCTTGACTCTGTTAACAGCCATCTAACAGGTGAGCTAGGGCATCGCTGTGGTTTTTGTTTCTGTTTCCACATCTTCTCACCTGTTGGCCCTTTGACATCTGAGGACCATGTTGTCAGCTCATTAAAAAAAAAAAAAATCCATCTAAGTTAAACCAACACAACCCCCCCCCATCAAGTGGCCTGTATCTGTGGGTGCGTGTGCTGTTTGTTTCCAATGTGTGTACTCTGGGGCAAACAGTGCTAGCCCTCCTCCATCAGGCATGTCTCTGGGCACCCTGCCTCGCCCTAGCTCACTTTAGTGGCTGTCCTTTACCATGCATGCCCTACTTGTTGGCTGTAATTCTGAAATACAGCCATTTTCTTCTGATTTCAGTTCTTAAGTGAGGGGTTGAAGTCTTGCTCTGTGTGTGTGAACAGCTGCTTTTCTGTCCACTGGAGACTGTCCTTTCTCTGGGGGCAGCTTTGTTTGAAATCTGAACTGTGGTCTGCTTTGCAGTCAGGCAGGACAGCTTGCGTCAGCTACACTTGCTGGTGCTGGGTTAACCTGGAAGTGGGCCACAGCTCGCTGCCCGCCTGCCTGAGGCACGTTCTGAGGGACCTCTGAGCCACGGTCTCTCCAGCATGCTGGCTTCAAAGTGGAATTCAGAATATGAATTTCAGTGTTTAAAAGAGGCAATCGGAAGGGCTGGCTGTGGCTCACTCGGTGAGAGAGTCCGGGCTCCAATCCCATACCCTCATTCTCACACTTAGCCACTCTTCCTGTGTGGACATAGGACAGGAGTGGGGCTGGGGCTTCTGCCAGCGGCACCACCTCCTGCTTTAGGTTCTCTCGGGCTACTGGGCCACGTGGGAAACGTTATTTCTGCGTGGATGTACTTCACACCTGCACAGGGTTCTAGCTGTATGCAGGGAATAGTTAGCCCCCACTAGACTGCCTCCTTCCTCTCCCTCCACCTCCCCTGCTACTTCTCTGTTGTGTCACCCCAGCAAGCCACCTGCCTCAGTGCCTTCCTCCGGTAGCTGGTGCCCCACACCAGCTACGAGGCATTGCTCCTGCCCCAGGCAAGCTGGCTCCAATTCCCGGCACAGGGCTCCATTGCCTGGTGTGACCCAAAAAAGGGGTCAAGCGGAGGGACGTGTTCCAAAAGCAGGACATCTCCATGGCGTTTCCCAGACACCCACAACAGCACACGTCCGTGTACCTGCTGGAGTCATCCCACTGGTTCCTGCGTGGGGCACGTTGCTAAGGGGATTGTCTTCCCTTTACAGCAACCATCTCCCCTCCCCCCAGCCCCCGCCTTGAGAAGTACTGTGACCAAGACCACCCGGGTCCAGTAGCTCTTTGCCAGGTGTCACAGCCTGAGGTTCGTAAAACTAAGGCTTCTTCAGGAGGCGAGAAGTTAAGGGGGTTCCAAGGCCCAGTGTGTACACAAGACCTGGGTTCAATCACCAGAATAAAAAGTGAAAAAAAAAATACCAAGTAGAAAATTAAGTGACTTCTAAGGTGAATACGAGGAATGAAAGTAATTCACAAATTACAATGTTTAAAACCTAACAAATATCTAGACAGGAAACAGCTGCAGAAAGGCAAAGGTAACATGGTGCCTTCTAGACCCGTGCAATGCTGCTGTGTTCCTTGCTGGGCTGCGTCCTCCCATGATGCTTCTGACTTGTGGCGTGGCCGAGCTCCGTTTAGAATCTGACACTTGTGAGTGGCTGGCAGCCTGCTAACCTGTTTGTTCAAATTGCTGTCCAGGGTGGGGGCTGTCCCCTTGTCCTTGAAACCCTTTCCAGTGGGACTGTGTGTGGGGCAGCGCTCTCTGGGCAGCAGCAGGCTGAGCAGAGTTGACTTTATGTTGAATACACGTCACCTCCCACACCTGCAAGCTCCAACAGCCCAGCCCTTCCGGAGGGGCCCCAGGGCCATCCCTCTGGTTTTGGTCAGAGCCCTCTTGAGAGATGTAGCATTACAATACACACCACCATGTAAAAACTCCAGGGACAGTGGCCAAAGTCACTGTTACCAGTTTCTTCTGCACGCCTGTGTGACTTAACACCAGATGGGCAAGTCTCTGCAAAGAGCCTGCTCCTACAGGCCTAGGGGTGAGGCCAGTGACTCAAATGTCCTGCTGTGAGCGGCTGCCACACACCTGAACTAACCTTTCTCTGTGCTCACACAGGGAAAGGAAGGTGGGGGTTGCCCCAGTGTGTGGCAGGAGGGACGTTTGGCTCCTGGTCACACCTGCTGGCCAAGAAGGCAGGTGGCAGGCAGCAGGGCGCATGACGGCCTCCGCACTCCCATGAGCCCTGGCTCCATCTCTGGGGTTTCCATGGGCTGCAGACACTTGGGGGGGGGGTCTGTGGTGCAGATGGGCGTGCGGAGCCTCCTGAGTTCTCTTCTGCACATCTCCTGCCTCGCAGAGCACCAGTGCTGGCTCTGGGCAGAGGCCCCGTGACCTCAGAGCTACAGCACTAGCATCTGCCCACAGCGAGGTTACTGCATGTGGCCGGAGGGGCTTAACACATTTTCTGTCTTATTTGACATTCTACATACATTTCAGGATCTGAGACTTTCCCCAGACCTTTGGACTACAAGGTAAGCTGGGTGCTCCCCTTTCCAGTTCAAGGGGCCTCAGACAGGCTCCTCCTCCCCCTCGGGTCTCTACTGTGCCCGTGGAGGGGGGGTGGGAGGAGGGGTGCTTCTCCGAGTGCCCCAGGGCTTTCTCTCCCTAGGGCTGAGAGCCTCTGTCCTGGCTTGGCCACCCTCCAGCCATCAGACTAGCCTTTGTTTCTGCCTGGTGGCATTCCTCTGCCCTGTGCCAAGCACTCTGAACTTCCTGGCCATTTTTTCGTCACCTTCTTGAAACTGTGGGGTGGTATAAATGTCATTCCTCTGCCTGAGGCAAAGCTTTCAAAGAGTGTTGAGTCTATCCTGGACTTCAGAGCCACATGCTCATCTCTGCAGCCGCCCTGAAGTAGCGGGCAGCATTTACCTACCCTGCCTGCCCTCACCCATGCTAGACTCAAGTACCCAGGCACCCAACCCACCCATACCTGGGGTCCTCAAGAGACGGGCCAGAGACACAGCAGCCCTGCCCGGCCTGCACTAGAGCCTTCAGACATCCAGACAGGGAGGCAGCTGCTGGGCATGGACACTTCCTGGGCAAATCACCCCAAGTCCCAGGTCCTACAGAGCACTCTGCAGAGCCACAAGCAGGGAGACTCTGCACTCCTTTCCGGGCCCTCCTCGGCCACTAGGAGAGCCGCCAAAACAGACAACCCAGATGTCCATAGGATTGGTTTAATTTGTTTCAGCAGGAGAAAAAAAAGAATAAAGTTACAAGATTCTTTTAATATTTTCACAATGTTAAACTAAAACTGCTCTAGGCTATGAGTGTAAGTCACTCTAGGACACAAAGGGTTAAATAAGATCTCTTCTTTAAAGATACAAGAATTTCAGCTTCCCTTACATTTAACAAACTTCACAGAACAGATACTGTAGGGAACAAGCCCTTCCTCCCCTGCCCAGCTCTCCAGCAGGAGTGAACCTGGGCACATGGTCCCCAGCACCCCCTCCCAGTGCTATGGGGAAGGGACCTGAGGACCTAAGAAGGGTACATGGCGCCTCACTGAGGATGGCCATGTGGTGGCCAGAGGGCTGTGGCTTAGCGACAGTGGTAAACGCGAGGCAGACCTGGCACCTTGGCCCTGGGCTGCCCTAGACTGAGGCGCTGGTCTGGGTCCTGAAGCAAGAATTAAGGCTGGAGATTCTGCACTGGGTCCCCTCTGGTGGGTGCAGACTGGGTGCAGGGTGGGAAGAACATGATTTCCTATTCGCTATTTTGGATCGAGACATTGTCCTTGCCGATCTGTTCATCTGGAGAGCAGACCTTGCTCAACTACACAAAGGAAAGTCACTGGGCTACACCGTTCATCAGCAGCCAGACGCGGACAGCTTCACCCAAGCCACAATCTGGGACAGATGGCACCTGTGTGGCACTTAGACTTGATCCAGGCTTTCAAAGGACTCCCAGAATCCCCCTGGCCCCGCCCTCTGGCTGTCAGTGGTTTCTAACCAACCCCACATACCTGCCCCATTCAGGCCCCCCACCCACAGCCACCGCCACTCACAATGTAGAGCGCCACACCAGGGGCCCGTGCAGTCCACTGTCTTCCCTTCCTGAACTTGTCCTGAGGTGGGTGCCTGGTTGTCCTCAAACTATGGCTGCATAGAAATTAGAGGAGGCCCCTGCAGGAAGGGCAGCAGCAGCCTCCCCTGTCACTACTCACTGATTCTTGTGGTCAGGAAACATCTTTTCAAATTCAAAGAAATCTGGTTGCCAAGGCCCAGGTGCAGGCCTCAGCCGCAGGGCTGCCATGAGCAACACCATTGCCCTTGGCAAGCGACAGCCAGAGTCAGCGGGTCTCGACCACGGATCCTGTGCAGAGAAGGTGGGATCGTGCGTGGACTAATCTTGAGTGGATCTAATTTTCAAAGTGAAGTTGTGTCTCCTCTTGTATGATGAGTTTCCCTTAACAACAGGTAAAAAGCTTCCTCCATAGAATCTGTCCCCACCCCCGACTTCCAGCGCTGAGGGAGAGTGAGGACACAGCCCAGCCCAGCCACGTGGCCAGTCTCGGCAGCTTCCTGTGGCCAAGGCACGCGTGGCCATCAGGTCCTGCTGGGACCAAGCGAAAGTGAAGAGGTGAAAGGCCAAACATGGAAGAGTTTCTGTCAAAGCGGCCGTGTGGGCGGCGAGGCCTGCGCCTCCTCTACCGACTCAGTCTGGTCTGGACACTTTCTGCTTAAGGCTTTTGTAAGTCTGACTCCAGCAGTGACAGCATGTGTTGTTGTAAATCCACTAGCCATGCTCAAAACAAATAGTCTTCATGTTTTAATTTTATACAATGGCTAGCAGGCACCTTAGTAACCAGCCAGAGATCAATTTCATCCACCATCAACCCCTAAACCACAGTACCAGGATGGCTGGCTAAAGAAAGGAAACGGCCGGCTGTAGTCTGACGTGCCCAGTACAAGGTGTCTGGCTGACTTTGTCCTAAATAAGGCTAACATTAGTGAACTAACAACAGCGTCGTGTGGCGGCCGTGCCCGGCCCTCAGGAGCACCCCTCCCCGATGCGCTGGCAGGAGCGCCCGACTTTCCGGTCCAGTTTCACCATTTTCATGATGGCTTCCTCGCGGCCGCGGCCCATGTGGTCGAACGTACAGTCATGCTGCTCTGGCAGGCGATGTAACATACAAAACACGTAGCCTGCAAGTGGGGAACAGAGGAGACGGTCGTTAGGGGCCTCGCTGGCATCCACAAGAAGGGGACACACGGCATGAGACACGGGGTCAGGACAAGGTTTCATGCTGCACCCACCCTTCAGCAGGGGCCCAGCACTTCCCACCCCCAGTTTCCTGGTCCAGTAAGCTCTGCGGCGCCTCTGCTGGGACATGTGCAGGCACCGGCCTCACCCCAACGCAGCATCAGATGGAGACACTCCACGGCCAGAGAAGCAGCTCTGCATCCATGCCAGCTCAGAAGCCCTGGCAAGCTCCAGTAGGGATCAAGTCACAAGTGAATGGGGCTCCTAACAGAAAATGGGTGCTTTGCAACCCTGGAAAAGGTGACACGCAGGAGAGGAAGAACTGCAGGAGGGCTGAGTGTAATGTCGTCTGATGTCATCTGGTCTGACTATGCTCTAACACCCCAAGAATGCAGATACCAGGGTCCTCTCAGGGATCCCACCAGGCTGTGGGGGCAGCTGTAGGTCCGAGGGAGACACGGGTCTGGCACATGAGAAACCCAAGAACAGAGGAAGAGGCCTGCAAAGCAAGGAGATGGACAGGCGGACAAGGGTGCGTGCGTGCGTGCGTGTTGTGGGGGCACATGAGGAAGAGGTCAAGACAGCTCACAGAGAACGCAGCATATGGAGGCCACCTGTCTCCTCCCGGCTCCCCAGTGAACCCCTACCCTAGAAAGGCTGAGAGGTACGCAGTCCTCACCTTCAGGGTTTAAAGGAGCAAAGGTCGGCCCAGCATCCCCATCCTCATCACGCTGCACAGCCACGCCCCTGGGACCCTGACCTGCTTCCCCGTGTGCCCGCTCACAGGGCCGCTCTACGCAGACTGCTGTCCTTTAAGCTCAGGTCCAGAAACCAACAGGTGGCCGCCCCTCGGCCTCTGTACAGAACCTGGACGTCAACTGGCAGGAAAGGCCCCGGAGGTGGAGATTAACTCAAGACTCAATGGCCTAGGTTCTACGATTAACTTCACCCAGATGCTGTTGGAGACAGAAGTGTGAGAAGGGCAGGCCGGGTCTTAGAAGACAGAACTATTCACCTGCGTGGCCGCTGCTAGGTTAGGCTGTGTTTGGGGCATGCATGCAGCAGAGGGGTGGAGGGTACAGCCTGAGCCAGCCAGTGTTCGAGAAACACATTATTAACTGCTTCCCAGGGAGAGCAGGGCAACATGTTTGACTCTAAATTGGGTCTGGGTTTGAGGAAAAGAATAGAGATGAAATTTTTGTCTCTTGAGAAGCTAAGCTCCCACTTGGTGGAAAAGCCAAGTTAAGATTAATGAGCTCGTGTGTTACACTTACTGATAAGTTCATTACTCCCAGATATTGGATACCAGTTGTCTTCTCCTGAAGGGGCCGCAGCAGCGCTCCTGCACCCTCAGTACACAGGCTGCCTAACAAGCTAAATCATCTTTCAGGAACAAAGCCCTCACCTATTGGGAGGTGGGGGAAAGACACCCTGGCACGGCTCTCGACACACAGCACTACAGAGGGCAGCGGGCCTGCTGCCCACCTTATCTCAGACCCTACTCACAGCAGGTCCAAGGGCTTCAGTGTGCTCCCTTCCTTTGGCAGGGGAGACACACTGGCAGCCCTGACCAGTAGGATTCTTAGAGCCAAGAGCATCACTGCCACACCCCTGTCAGATGCAGCCAGCGTCTGCCCTGAGCCCTGCAAGCCAGAAAATAGCAGCTGTACTTGAGGAGCACAGGCACGTGGGGAGACAGCAGGTAATGCACAGGGAGGGCCTGGGGGACATGTGCCCCGTCTCCATGACCACACACAGATTACGCTCCAGTCCTGGTCTGATCACTCACCAGGCACAGGCCAGCTACCGAAGACCAGTACTGCTGTGAGGGACACGTCCTGCTCTGTGGGACTGAGAGGTGGGTGGAATTTCATTTTTAAAAGAAAATGGAAACTTTCTTACAAAAAAGAACTGGAGGTGACACACAGGCAGAGCAGATAGATTAATCAGTCAGAACCTCCCCTTCTTGGGAACACAGGCCTGTTTCCAGAAGCTGCTGCAGGGATCGTCGACTCTCCAACACTCTGGAGATGGATGGTCTTGAGTGACAGACAGAAGGACTTGAGGTTACTGCCTGCTTTCGGGTGAGCTAGCCTTGGCATTTCTCTAAGTTATTTAAAGAAACTAGAAGGCAAGGCAGGAGGCCTGCTAGTTCTCGGAGTCTTGGAAACAGAGGAGGACAAACCAGTCTTGGGTCCTTTCTTGAAAAGGCCAAAGAAAGTGGCGCCGGATAGGATGGAGGCTCAAGCGACAGAGCTGCGATGTCCTCGTTTAGTCCCAGGGGTCACCCAGTTCTTCTCCTCCCACTTCAGGTGAGACTTGCTCCTGTTCCACACTGAGCCCATCACAGAGCCCGCACTCCTCAGCAGCACGCGGTTTGGAAGGCGACGTCCATGTCCTGGCTTGCCCGCACTGTGGTCTAAGTGTTTCACAGGGACTGGGATGGCTGATGTGTCAAGTACAGTCAGGCCCACACGACCCACATGCAACACTGTCCTGTGCTGAGCCAGAGCCCAGGAAGGTGAGCTCCTTGGACGACAGCTTGAAGCCGGCCCTCCTCCAAGGTGTCAATTACATTTTCAGTGTAACTGTACCAAGCGCTCAGGAACTTGGGTGGGTGTCTATTTGCTTACAGGCTCATGAGGGCAATACAGGACACGCCCTTCATTAAAACGGAGAACAAAGCAGCAGCCGGCCCTCTAAGCTCACCGCTCCCCATGGGCTGTGCCTGCCTCGCCCCTCTGGACTGCACCCTTTCTCTACGTGGACCAGCCACTGTCCCCAATTCTGACAGACCACTCAGGACGTGGACAGAAGAGCTAGGAAGGGCCAAGCACATGACTACCATCCCACATCCTAGGACGTGGGCTCAACGGTCTCTGCAGGGCTGGGGAGCCCCTTCCTTAACCTGAGAAGACCCCTTCAACTCAGCAGACAGCACTAGGATGACGAGTGGCTATATCATGCAGGTCTACCCAGGACTGCAGACTGTGGGTAGCAGGAGAGGCCTGGGGCCTATTCCAGAAGCTTCCATCTACAGTGAAGCCTGCACGGAGGAGACAGCAGAGGCCACCAGTTGACTCACTCAACACAAGAGGAAGGAGAAGCAGGCTGGAAGGAAAATGTGGGTTTGTTCCCAGCACCAACCACGGCAGTTCCTCACCGTCCAGAGCCCCTGCTCCAGGCCACCTTCTCACCTCCATAAGCCAGAGGCCCAGCACGGAGGTCTAACACATCTGGCTAGCCATGTGGTACAGATGTGAACGACATCCAGTGACTGGTGTGTAAAATGCCATCTGGTAGGACACAGCCTTCCCCTCACCCTCTTAATCCAGTTGCCCTCAACACGGCACATGCTCACAGGAGACTGTCCAGGACACTGAAGCGTGCACAGCACCGAGGCTCTAAGTGTCCCTTAGAGCAGCAGCCATAGCCTTCCTTGATCTGCTCCTGTGCAAACACTGACAACAACCACAGCCCAAGGGGACAACCTGACTATCACCCAACCTAATACGAAGGAGGCCTGGGCCGGAACAAGGCAGCCAGCTCACAGCTCCCTGCCACTGACCACAGAGAAGACCACTCTGAGGACCTGAGCAGGGTCAGTGCTGTCTTTTCTGTGAGATGCTGAGAGGAACAGGACGAGAGCAGAAGCCACACTCCTTGGTGTCTGCATTCCCACAGCCGGCAGAACGCTGCTCAGCGGCTTCCTCCAGGAGTAAAGCTCACCATCACAGCTGGCTGACCCAGCTCCGCACTCTTGGGTTGGAATTAATTACGCACGCACTTGCTCTCCTGAAGTCTCCCCCCCACGTGGGGGGCCCCACGTGAGGCCCCCCACGTGAAGCCCCCCACGTGAAGCCCCCCACGTGAAGCCCCCTACGTGCTGTGTTATTACAGACAGGGATGGGATAAGCTCAGCCCAGCCATTCAGTGCTTCCACCTAACTTTACACTTCCCTGCTCATCTGAATTTCAATTGTTAAAGGTTCAAGCAGATCCTGAAAATACTGACAGGCTGAGGACCGAAACATGCGAAAGGCTCTGCTGGTGTGCAGTGTGAGGTAGCAGCAGGTAGCTGCCAGCACAGAGTACATGACACTAGCCCAACCCTTCGAGGCCCAGGGCTGTGGTCAGACTCACTCCAGTTCTGAGTGAAGTCAGCTTTACAAGGGCAAATAGAACCTTTGCAGGACCCCTTAAACCTGTATGAGGGCCACCTCCAAGTCATAGCACTGCAGGGGTCAAATACGATATCTAAAGAGTCATTTTAAATTAACAGTACTAGGCATGGAGCAACCCCTCCCCCATAGCAAAAAAACCCAGCATGGTGGCACATGCCTGTAACTCCAGCAACTAGGAAGGTAGAAGGGGATCAGAAGTTCAAGACCTTCCTTGGCTACAGAGTAAGCACAGAACCAGCCTAGGCTACATGAGACCCTTGCCTCACAAAAACAAAACAAAGTCAATGTATCTAAAATGACCAGAATGCTCCCTGGAAAAACAAATCCTATTTTTCCAGCAAGGACGTTTCTTAAGCGTCAGGACAGCTCACCCATCCCCAGCTCATGTACAAGGCACACTGGGAATATCGGGCGGTACAGAATCTGCAGCTCAGGGCACAAAGGATTTCAGTGTGTGCCTTTCATCAGGCCCGGCACACGGAAAGCTGCTGCAGGTGATGGGAACGGGGTGTATCTCCTCTCCATTCTCCTCCAGCCCTGGCTTCACATGGTAGAGGGAAGTCATTATCCAAGAACCAGAACTGGACCCCAGCTCAGTGAGCCCAGCCTGTGCTCTGCTGCAGAAGAAGAGCGTTGATCGAGTGGTCAGGTCACCTGTCAGGGCCCTAAACCAAAGCCACAGTGTATGACCCAGCAGGCGCCTTGGCATCTCTTGCGATGGAGAGGAGGAGCTGCATTAGAGAAGCTCCCAGCCCCTTA